ATAGTGAGTGGTACCTAGTATAGTGAGTGGTACCTAGTATAGTGAGTGGTACCTATATAGTGAGTGGTACCTAGTATAGTGAGTGTACCTAGTATAGTGAGTGGTACTAGTATAGCGAGTGATACCTAGTATAGATGAGGTGGTACCTAGTATAGTGAGTGGTACCTAGTTATAGGCGAGTTGGTACCTAGTATAGTGAGTGGTACCTAGTATAGTGAGTGGTACCTAGTATAGTGAGTGGTACTATTATAGTGAGTGGTACCTAGTATAGTGAGTTACTAGTATAGTGAGTGGTACCTAGTATAGTGAGTGGTACCTAGTTATAGTGAGTGGTACGTATTATAAGTAAGTGGTACCTAGTATAGTGAGTGGTACCTAGTATAGTGAGTGTACCTAGTATAGTGAGTGGTACCTAGTATAGTGAGTGGTACCTAGTATAGTGAGTGGTACCGTAGTATAGTAGAGTGGTACCTAGTATAGTGAGTGGTACCTAGTATAGTGAGTGGTACCTAATATAGTGAGTGGTACCTAGTATAGTGAGTGGTACCTAGTATAGTGAGTTGTTCCTAGTATAGTGAGTGTCCTAGTATAGTGAGTGGTACCTAGTATAGTGAGTGGTACCTAGTATAGTGAGTGGTACCTAGTATAGTGAGTGGTACCTAGTATAGTGAGTGGTACCTAGTATAGTGAGTGGTACCTAGTATAGTGAGTGGTCCTAGTATAGTGAGTTGTACCTAGTATAGTGAGTGGTTCCTAGTATAGTGAGTGGTACCTAGTATAGTGATGGTACCTAGTATAGTGAGTGGTACCTAGTATAGTGAGTGGTACCTAGTATAGTGAGTGGTACCTAGTATAGTGAGTGGTACCTAGTTAGTGAGTGGTACCTAGTATAGTGAGTGGTACCTAGTATAGTGAGTGGTACCTAGTATAGTGAGTGGTACCTAGTATAGTGAGTGGTACCTAGTATAGTGAGTGGTTCCTAGTATAGTGAGTGGTTCCTAGTATAGCGAGTGGTTCCTAGTATAGCGAGTGGTACCTAGTATAGTGAGTGGTACCTAGTATAGTGAGTGGTACCTAGTATAGTGAGTGGTACCTAGTGTAGTGAGTGGTACCTAGTATAGTGAGTGGTACCTAGTATAGTGAGTGGTACCTAGTATAGTGAGTGGTTCCTAGTATAGTGAGTGGTACCTAGTATAGTGAGTGGTACCTAGTATAGTGAGTGGTACCTAGTATAGTGAGTGGTACCTAGTATAGTGAGTGGTACCTAGTATAGTGAGTGGTACCTATATAGTGAGTGGTACCTAGTATAGTGAGTGTTACCTAGTATAGTGAGTGGTACCTAGTATAGTGAGTGGTACCTAGTATAGTGAGTGGTACCTAGTATAGTGAGTGGTTCCTAGTATAGTGAGTGGTACCTAGTATAGTGAGTGGTACCTAGTATAGTGAGTGGTACCTAGTATAGTGAGTGGTACCTAGTATAGTGCGTGGTTCCTAGTATAGTGAGTGGTTCCTAGTATAGTGAGTGGTACCTAGTAGTGAGCTGATGTGGTACCTAGTATAGTGAGTGGTACCTAGTATAGTGAGTGGTACCATAGTATAGATAGTGAGTGGTACCTAGTATAGTGAGTGGTACCTAGTATAGTGAGTGGTTCCTAGTATAGTGAGTGGTACCTAGTATAGTGAGTGGTACCTAGTATAGCGAGTGGTACCTAGTATAGGAGTGGTACCTAGATATAGTGTAGATAGGTACCTAGTATAGTGATGGTACCTAGTATAGTGAGTGGTACCTAGTATAGTGAGTGGTACCTAGTATAGTGAGTGGTTCCTAGTATAGTGAGTGGTACCTAGTATAGTGAGTGGTACCTAGTATAGTGAGTGGTTACCTAGTATAGTGAGTGGTTCCTAGTATAGTGAGTGGTACCTAGTATAGTGAGTGGTACCTAGTATAGTGAGTGGTACCTAGTATAGTGAGTGGTACCTAGTATAGTCGAGTGGTACCTGTATAGTGAGTGGTACCTAGTATAGTGAGTGGTACCTAGTATAGTGAGTGGTACCTAGTATAGTGAGTGGTACCTAGTATAGTGAGTGGTACCTAGTATAGTGAGTGGTACCTAGTATAGTGAGTGGTACCTAGTATAGTGAGTGGTTCCTAGTATAGTGAGTGGTACCTAGTATAGTGAGTGGTACCTAGTATAGTGAGTGGTACCTAGTATAGTGAGTGGTACCTAGTATAGTGAGTGGTACCTAGTATAGTGAGTGGTACCTAGTATAGTGAGTGGTTCCTAGTATAGTGAGTGGTACCTAGTATAGTGAGTGGTACCTAGTATAGTGAGTGGTACCTAGTATAGTGAGTGGTACCTAGTATAGTGAGTGGTACCTAGTTAGTGAGTGGTACCTAGTATAGTGAGTGGTACCTAGTATAGTGAGTGGTACCTAGTATAGTGAGTGGTACCTAGTAGTAGTGAGTGGTACCTAGTATAGTGAGTGGTACCTAGTATAGTGAGTGGTACCTAGTATAGTGAGTGGTTCCTAGTATAGTGAGTGGTACCTAGTATAGTGAGTGGTACCTAGTATAGTGAGTGGTACCTAGTATAGTGAGTGGTACCTAGTATAGTGAGTGGTACCTAGTATAGTGAGTGGTACCTAGTATAGTGAGTGGTTCCTAGTATAGTGAGTGGTACCTAGTATAGTGAGTGGTACCTAGTATAGTGAGTGGTACCTAGTATAGTGAGTGGTACCTAGTATAGTGAGTGGTACCTAGTATAGTGAGTGGTCCTAGTATAGTGAGTGGTACCTAGTATAGTGAGTGGTACCTAGTATAGTGAGTGGTACCTAGTATAGCGAGTGGTACCTAGTATAGCGAGTGGTACCTAGTATAGTGAGTGGTACCTAGTATAGTGAGTGGTACCTAGTATAGTGAGTGGTACCTAGTATAGTGAGTGGTTCCTAGTATAGTGAGTGGTACCTAGTATAGTGAGTGGTACCTAGTATAGTGAGTGGTTCCTAGTATAGTGAGTGGTACCTAGTATAGTGAGTGGTACCTAGTATAGTGAGTGGTACCTAGTATAGTGAGTGGTACCTAGTATAGTGAGTGGTACCTAGTATAGTGAGTGGTACCTAGTATAGTGAGTGGTACCTAGTATAGTGAGTGGTACCTAGTATAGTGAGTGGTACCTAGTATAGTGAGTGGTACCTAGTATAGTGAGTGGTACCTAGTATAGTGAGTGGTACCTAGTATAGTGAGTGGTACCTAGTATAGTGAGTAGGTACCTAGTATAGTGAGTGTCCTAGTAAATGAAGTGGTACCTAGTATAGTGAGTGTACCAGAGTGATTGGTACTAGTAATAATGGTACCTAGTATAGTGAGTGTACCTATATAGTGATGGTTACCAGTATCAGTGACATGGTCCTATAAGTCAGTGGTACCAATATACTGATGGTACCTATATAGTGAGTGGTACCTGTTATGCTGAGTGGTTCACCGTAGTAGTTTGTCCAGTGGTACACTGTATAGTGAGTGGTACCTAGTCATAAAGAACATCGTACACCAGTTGTATGACCAAGTGTTTTGGTAAGGAAGACTTTGGTGTTAGTATATATGAGTATTAAATAAGTAAATCTTTTGTTACTAGCAAGTCAAACTGTACATAGGTATACAGTTAGTGACATTACAATGAATGTATGCTATATTGAAGCTCGCTTGTTATTAGTGAGTCATATCCCGCAAATTAGTAGTTTGTCCTATGATGCGAGTCACACTAGTGCACAGCTACCCAGGTACCCATTATTACTGTAGGTGTAACATGACAACCGTGTATGAACACACCCAGTGTTTCACCACTTCCGTATCGAACCCGACTCTACGTGTAAGCGAGAGTTTTTGCCACCGGTACTGGGCACCGTAACAGCTCGGTTATGGTAGAACGCTGTAGTTCACACATCTCCCTCCATCACTGTCTTTATTGTACGTGTATGTCATTATTGTACGTGTATGTCATTATTGTGCGTGTATGTCATTATTGTACGTGTATGTCATTATTGTACGTGTATGTCATTATTGTACGTGTATGTCATTATAGGCACAGCTCTACACATCATTAGTAAGACTGGTGACACTCACACATTTGACCGTATTAACCTAAGTGATGTACTGACCTTGATTTGTCCTCACTTGTAGATATTACGTACAAGCAGCAGCAGCAGTTTGTAATTGCTACTGCTGTTGTTACTGTTGCAGTTGTTGCTATTGCTGCTGCTACTGCTGAACCTGCTGTTGCAGTTGCTGCAGCACTTACTGCTGCAACTGCTGCTGCACTTACTGCTGCAGCTGCTGTTGCTACTTCTGCTGTTACTGCTGCAGGTGTTGCAATTGCTGCTGCTACTGCTGCACCTGCTGTTGCAGCTGCTGCTGCACTTACTGCTGCAACTGCTGCTGCACTTACTGCTGCAGCTGCTGTTGCTACTTCTGCTGTTACTGCTGCAGGTGTTGCAATTGCTGCTGCTACTGCTGCACCTGCTGTTGCAGCTGCTGCTGCACTTACTGCTGCAACTGCTGCTGCACTTACTGCTGCAGCTGCTGTTGCTACTGCTGCACCTGCTGTTGCAGCTGCTGCTGTACTTGCTGCTGCACTTACTGCTTCAACTGCTGCTTCTACTGTTGCTAGTGTTATACCAGCAATTACTGCTGCTACTGCTGCTTCTGCTGCCTCCGCCTCCGCTTATTCTTCCTCTTCTTGTTCTTCGTCTGCCTTCTTGTTCTTCCTCTTTAAGGTTAAGGGACTGATCATCAAATATTTACCTCTCCACTGTTGCGGCTGTCTTCCATAATTAAGTTTCCTCTATATTTAACCTTAAAAGCCTGCTGAGCAGGCGAAACGTTCCTACATGTGTCTTACTCATCTACTTGTGTGCATTGTATATCATTGTATATCATTGTATATCATTGTATATCATTGTATATCATTGTATATCATTGCTATCATGTGCTTCTTGTGCTACAGGTTGCGGGAGTGGAGAGCGTGCTAGACGGTTCCCAGCAGCAGCTGCAGCAAATACCCGGCGGAGACGCTGTCAGAGGCGTGTGGATCACAGCTGCTACCTACACACCTGACCCCTACACCTTTACTGCTCTCTTTAAGGTATACTATTCATAGTCGCCGTACTCAGTGTGTACTTAGGCTTAAGGGAAGTGGTGGTTGTGGTGGAGGTTGAGATTGTAGTAGTCGTGAAAGTGGACAGTATACCTGGATACCCCGAGTATACCTGGAGGGGATTTCGGGGTCAGCGCCCCCGCGGCCCGGTTTGTGACCATGGCTCGTAGTGTACCAGGGTCTGATCAACCAGGCTGTTACTGCTGGCCGCACGTAAACCGACGTACGAACCACAGCCCGGCTGGTCAGGTACTGGCTTTAGGTGCCTGTCTATCTCCCTCTTGAAGACAGCCAGGGGTCTATTGGTAATCCCCCTTATGTATGCTAGGAGGCAGTTGAACAGTCCTGGGCTCTGACAATTATTGTGTTGTGGAGGCCCTGCTTTTCATTGGTGGGATGTTACATCTGCCGAGTCTTTTGCTTTCGTAGAGAGTGATTTTCGTGTGCAGATTTGGGACTAGTCCCTCTAGGATTTTCCAAATGTTTATTATCATATATCTTTCTCGCCTGCGTTCCAAGGAGTACAAATCAAGGGACTTGAACTGTTCCCAGTAATTGAGGTGCTTTATCGTACTTATGTGTACCGTGAATGTTCTCTGTATATTCTCAACGTCTACAATTTCGCCTGCCTTGAAAGGGGCCGTTAATGTACAGCAGTATTCCAGCCTAGAGGGAGTTAAGACACATGTGCCACAGTTAATTAAACATCTTTATTCCGAAACGTTTCGCCTTCAATCTAGTACAGAAAAGTTGGCAGAAGCAGTAGAGATGATTAGGCGATGTAATCAGTCCATCCTTGAAGACGTAGTGTTGAGGTGGTCAGTCCCTCAGCCTGGAGAAGAGTTTTTGTACGAACGTTTCGGAATAAAGATGCTTAAGTGGCACGTAAGTTCTCCAGTCTTCTAATAACATGTTCATTTCTCCACTATAATTTACCTTGTTCATAATTACTATCACATTTGCTTTGTCTGTTTCGTAAGGTGAAGTCCAGGATCTTTCCTTAATTTATGGTATAACTTAACAAATCGTTGATGGCAGTTGTGTTGCAGAGGTCTGAGCAAAGCTCATTTTAGGTGCCTTAAGTTGAAATCCCCCGGCAGCAAGATGTTTGGGGCGGGAGTTGGGAGATTTTCCAGACTGTGGTTAATTTTTCAAAAGTAATTCCTGAAATTGTCGGGAAGTTGTATCTGGTGGCTTGTATACAACCACAATGACAAAGTTTTGGTTTTCAGTATTTACTGCCAAAACTTCAGCTACATCATTAGTGGTGTTTAGTCCCGAGCAAGTGAGCGACTCTGTGACACACAGGCCAACCCCCCCCCCCCCCCCCCGTTGTTGCCTGTTTTTAAGTCGCATCTGAAAAAGTTATAACCTGGGCTCCATATTTCGTTGTTAGTGGCGGCGGAGGTTGAGATTGTGGAAGTTGTAAATGTTTTTTTATTGACGTGATGGTGGATGATGGCCCAGGACCCACACAAATGTTACTACTTTATAATGGTCCAGGACCCACACAAATGTTACTACTACTTTATAATGGTCCAGGACCCACACAAACATTACTACTTTATAATGGTCCAGGATCCACACAAACATTACTACTTTATAATGGTCCAGGATCCACACAAACATTACTACTTTATAATGGTCCAGGATCCACACAAACATTACTACTTTATAATGGTCCAGGATCCACACAAACATTACTGGTGGCTAAAGCTCCCGCTTCACACACGGAGGGCCCGGGTTCGATTCCCGGCGGGTGGAAACATTTCGACACGTTTCCTTACACCTGTTGTCCTGTTCACCTAGCAGCAAATAGGTACCTGGGTGTTAGTCGACTGGTGTGGGTCGCATCCTGGGGGACAAGATTAAGGACCCCAATGGAAATAAGTTAGACAGTCCTCGATGACGCACTGACTTTCTTGGGTTATCCTGGGTGGCTAACCCTCCGGGGTTAAAAATCCGAACGAAATCTTTCTCGTTTATCCCATTTCTTAAATTTAACTATGTAGAGTTCATTAATATCTACAAAATTTAAAATATTAACTTTTATTCATGTTTTTCAACTATATCTTAACTTTAGTGGATATTTTTATTTTCTCTGCAAAATGTTTGTGAACCTGAACATCAGGACTTGTAGACGCTTGTTGTTCCCTGGTGATAATAACTCCAGCTGTGTTGGAACTTCTTGATTGTTGTTCCCTGGTGATAATAACTCCAGCTGTGTTGGAACTTCTTGATTGTTGTTCCCTGGTGATAATAACTCCAGCTGTGTTGGAACTTCTTGATTGTTGTTCCCTGGTGATAATAACTCCAGCTGTGTTGGAACTTCTTGATTGTTGTTCCCTGGTGATAATAACTCCTTGGAGTCCAGTCCCTGGACCAATTATGTACCTCTGTAATCTTTTGACTACCGCCCACAGGATGGGTATGGGGTGCATAATAAACATATTAAACTAAACTAACTAAACTGTGTTGGAACTTCTTGATTGTTGTTCCCTGGTGATAATAACTCCAGCTGTTTTGGAACTTCTTGATTGTTCCCTGGTGATAATAACTCCAACTGTGTTGGAACTTCTTGATTGTTGTTCCCTGGTGATAATAACTCCAGCTGTGTTGGAACTTCTTGAGAGATTGTTGCTCCCTGGTGATAATAACTCCAGCTGTGTTGGAACTTCTTGAGAGATTGTTGCTCCCTGGTGATAATAACTCCAGCTGTGTTGGAACTTCTTCAGAGATTGTTGCTCCCTGGTGATAATAACTCTCTCTGTGTTGGATCTTCTTCAGAGATTGTTGCTCCCTGGTGATAATAACTCCAGCTGTGTTGGAACTTCTTGAGAGATTGTTGCTCCCTGGTGATAATAACTCCAGCTGTGTTGGAACTTCTTCAGAGATTGTTGCTCCCTGGTGATAATAACTCCAGCTGTGTTGGAACTTCTTCAGAGATTGTTGCTCCCTGGTGATAATAACTCCAGCTGTGTTGGAACGATACCTTTGAAGCCGATAAACCTTTGATAGAAGTAAGATGATGAATAAGACATGTGGCAAAGGAGTGGCTTTAACAGCAAGTATACCCAGGTGTTGCACATATGTCTTGGTCATCACGACTAACATTTACTTGAATACTTGATAATGTCCTCAGCGACCTACTGAAGTATACCAGCTCAGCCTGCAAGATTTCAACACCTTGTATGAGACCTTGTATGTGACAGGGAAACACAGCTCGGTTCACACTGTGCACCTGGCGTATTATAGAGTAGCGCAGCAGCACACTGCTGATGTATGCAATTACTCAGCAACACAGTAAATGACCATATGACCTGTCTTTGTTATACTCATTTGTACTAAATTATTATCTGTTTTACAATAATTTTTGTACCACTGAATTTATCATTGTTTAGTTAATCTTGAGTTAATTTTAAGCCTGCCCATAATACTCTGCATACAAGGGGCTTTGGCATGCTACAGTTTAACAGTTATATTCCTTGTACTTCTCTGTATCATGTTCAAATTAATAATTAAATAAATAAAAATAAATAAATACTAGATTAAATATGGTTTAGAAAGACACATGAGCGAACACTGGAGCATACTAGAATAATGATAAATATCTCCTGGTGTTTGCTTACATGTTTTTTAAATTAATTTGTCGGGATCTGTTACCAAGGTATACCTGGAGGGTGTATACCTGGAGGGGTATACCTGGAGGGTCTATACCTGGAGGTTGTATACATGGAGGGTGTATACCTGGAGGGGGTATACCTGGAAGATGTACATCTGGAGGGGGTATACCTGGGGGTTGTATACCTGGAGGGTGGATACCTGGAGGGGTATACCTGGAGGGTGTTCCGGGGGTCAACGCCCCCGCGGCTCGGTTCATCACCAGGTGAGTTTACCATTTACCGAAGCAAGTAATAACACGACTATTGTGTGGTTTACACAGACAACCTCACATAGCAGAAGTAAACTTATAACGATGTTACCTCTTTCGTCTCCCTGCCCCCCCCCCATCCCCATCCCCCGTCCCTCGTACATCTGGCTCCCTTACCTTCGCGCTTCTGTGTGACTTGTTAATGGTCCAGTTTACTGAAACATCGTCATAAGTGTCATTTTGCTATTCAAATTCAAACGTTTATTTCTCTGTATAGATTACAATGTGTGGTTTACATAAGATAATTATAAAATAAAGTACTTATTACAAAGAAGGCCACTAGTATAGCTAGGTAGGCCTAGGCATTTCGGGCAGCCTAATACTATTTCTTACTCTATATTGACACAGGTTATGAATCATACTGGTATTAAAGTGAGGAAGCTAGATTTACAAAAGTGAGATAGTTCAACACATTAAAAAATTAACAGTTTATCAATTAATGGGAATGGTCTCATCTTGGCTACGTGTTGGTTATTTGTGTATTGTTCCAGTCACGGTATTGTGCCTTATTATCTTTCATTGTGTGTTGCAGTCATGGCTGGGAGAGACGAAGGGCAAGGATCCCCATGTCCACGTGACGTTTCCTGCCTCCAGCAGTGACCAGGACACACTCACGTGTAAGTACATGTCCCTATCCAACCCGCTCGCTTAAGCAAATATATAATTTCACTGACGAAGGCAGCTTAAACAGTAAGAATCTCAGTGACTGCGTCTTGTCTGTTCAGACCAAAACGTTGTCCTTAGTTTCAGTCTCATAAAGTGCGGGTTATTTGTCTACAACTTTTTATCGCCTTTATCTTATACCGGAGAGCCCCGCTTTACAGCGCTTCACTTTACAGCGTCTCGCTGATGCAGTGGTTGTCAGTTATAACCATTCGTCATTCATTCAAACTTGTTACAGTAAATATATTCACCACTGTGTAAGCCAAGGACAAAAATAGTTTCAGGTAAGTAATGTTTATGCATTTTTAAGATTTAGCTCTGTTGTTCACTTATTATATGATAGTGTGAACATGTTATCAGGCTTTTATATGTATTTAAAAGACTGTGTTTCACTTTACAGCAGTTTTTGCTTTACAACAGTAGCCCAGAACCTAACTGCTGTATAAGCGGGGCCCGCCTGTATCTACATATTTTTTCTTTCGCTGTATAATTGGTTATTTTTAATTCAGTTCAATTCAAAGTTTATTCTCTATAAGGATTACAATGCTGAGTTTACAGAATTTGGTTATTGTGTGGTTTACATGTAGTTAAATAATGATTACAGAGTGTACCACTAGGGCGTGTTTCCGTACACCTGCTGTCCTTGTTCACCTAGCAGCAAGCAGGCACCTGCTAGACTGGTGTGGGTGGCATCCTGGGGGCGGTAGTATACCTCAGATAGGGCTGAGCTTTGAGATGAGCTGAGGAAAGATAACAGCTCTTATCTTGTAAAATTGATTTGTGTAAAAAATGGATAATGGACAACCTAATTTTACCTAACCTAACTGAACCCGTTAGAGAAATTTACTGCAAATCTTATGAGAAGTCTATTTAAGTATGCTGTTGTAGCTAACACGATGAGTTGTGTTTACATTATTACACTTGTTTATTAATACAGTTGTATAATGTAGTGTACAACCTTCACGTTGTTTACTAATACAGTTGTATAATATAATGTATAACCTTCACGTTGTTTACTAATACAGTTGTATAAGGTAGTGTACAACCTTCACCTTGTTTACTAATACAGTTGTATAAGATAATGTACAACCTTCACATTGTTTACTTTAATACAGTTGTATAAGATAATGTATAACTTTCACATTGTTTACTAATACAGTTGTATAAGGTAGTGTACAACCTTCACGTTGTTTACTAATACAGTTGTATAAGATAATGCATAACCTTCACATTGTTTACTAATACAGTTGTATAAGATAATGTATAACCTTCACATTGTTTACTTTAATACAGTTGTATAAGATAATGTACAACCTTCACATTGTTTACTTTAATACAGTTGTATAAGATAATGTATAACTTTCACATCGTTTACATTCACATATACTGTCTCTTCATCATATGTGTTAAGGCGTCCACAAGGTTCAACATGTGTCTGGTTTTCAGCACTGAAATTGAAATGGGAATATGCGTGCCTTGTTGACTGTTACTTCAGCTTGAAGTGTGACCTGTCCCAGTGGGTCTTACTGGAGGTGTGCTCACTTATTTGTGGCTTCATGGGTTGAACCGTAGCTCCTAGACCGCATCTCATAGCTCTCAAGACACGCTCACTTATTTGTGGCTTCATGGGTTGAACCGTAGCTCCTAGACCGCATCTCATAGCTTTCAAGACGCGCTCACTTGTGGCTCGTTGGGTTAAAGAATGAGACACTTGTGCAGTATTTGGGAATATTTATTGTGGAAATGTTCCGCCAGCCAGAGGGTTCTTCAGTTCAGTACAGAGAAGAACGGTGGAAGATGAGAAGGAGTTTGGGGTAATCAGTCCCTCAAGCTGGAGTCGATGTGTTCAGTCCATTAATCCTGAGAAATGTACAGCATAAGCACGGATAAGTGTACTGCAGTCAGGCGAGTTGAAGCAGCAGTAGACGGAGTTACTAGTGGAAAAATCAACTCAGACTCCTCCTCTTCTCAGTATTGGACTGAAGAAACCACTGACTGGCGAAAGTTTTCCACAGTAAAGATTCGCAAATGTTGCACAAGTGTTTAGTTCTTCAACCTGTCGGTTTTCTAAAGCATTTACATCCTTTTGTTAAATCGTAGTTCGTAGCTCCCCGTCTCATAGGTGGCCGCACAGGTCGACTCTTCTCTCCTAGCTTACCTCTTCTAGCTTTTGATCCAGTCACAGGATTTAGCACTGTCTTATCCACTTTTAAAAAGACTTTCTGGCTCGTGTGGAATTAAAGTTTCCATTAATGTCCCTCGTCCCTGCCATTCCTCAGGGGCTGTAAAGCTGCTTCCTCGTACATATGATAGCAACAATCATAGGTTGAGCCCATGTGTTGCTCCCCTTGAAGATTGTAGGCGCTCTCTAGTGTTATCTTCAAGGTGCTCACTGCTAACACTTACCACTTGATGTAGTTCAACTTTAATAGCTGCTTCACCATACCTACAGCCAGTACAAGTTGCAGTTCAACTTTAATCACAACCTCACCATTTCTACAGTAGTTTTTGTATCATAAACACGTGTGTCAATAAATGGTTTAGAAAACCGACAAGTTGATCATCGAGACACTTGTGCAAGATTTGGGAATCTTTATTGAGGGAACATTTCGCCAACCAGTGGCTTCTGCAGTAATGTGCACAGTAATTGGAATAGGAGTAAATTGTGTGATTATTTCATCTTAGTCTATGGCTTAATTAATGTAGTTTGAGTTCTTTTCTTTTCAGAAGTGTTTACTATCGACTTCTGACAACCATCCAGCTGTGGTGTTACCGTACGACTCGCGTCAGTGCTGCAACAGCTGTTGTTCTGTAAGGCTATTCCTGCAAGAGTGCTCCATGAGTGAATGTGATTTCGCCAAATTCTTCCCTTCATTTTATGATTACTGCTGAAATTCACGATGGATGTTACACATAGGAAACGTGCAATTATTATAGCTCTATGAAAACATGTTTATTCGAGTATCAGACAGAGCCTAGCAAAGTCAACTGTTGGTCGGATTCAGAAGAGAGCTGACGACACTGGTGATTATGGAGCGTTGCGTTGAGGAAGATGTGGAAGAAACGCAAGATGACAAGGTTATGAGAAATAGTGTAAAGGATCCCAAGAAAAACAGCAGAGATCTGCAGAAAGATTTGGCTTCAGCTGGCGTAAATGTTGATTCTTCAACTGTTCGATGAAGGCTCCTTGAAGTTGGCAGAACTGTCAGAAACCCGATAAACAATTATTGACTGCTGCTATGAAGAAAAAATGGCTGCTGTGGGTACTCGATTATAAGGAATGGATGTTAGAAGAATGGAGAAAAGTTACATGTTCACATGAGGTACATTTGTTGGTCCGAGCAACAGATCGGTTGTTATGAGATGGAAGAAAGGCGAACCTCTTCGGAATGGACACATTCAACAAGCGCCAAAACATTCGCCTAAGATGTTTTGGAGTAGGTTTACTAACTAAAGGCCTTGGACGACTTGTTATTGTTGAGGGAACAATGAACAGTGGATAGAATCTTTTCTGATGGAGAAGATATTTTCCAGCAGGATCATGCTCCATGTCACACTTCCAGAAAAATGCTGACATTCTCTGAAGAGAGTGGGCTAAGCGTTTTAAATTTGCCTGGAAACTCATGACTTCAATGGAATTGAAAATCTATGGGCAATAACCAAACGCAGGATCACGAAACAGAATTGTTCATCTGTGAAGAAGCTAATTGCTGCTGTTATTAGAACCTGGTACCATGACGAACTTACCAAAATGTGTTCAACATTGGTCGATTTTATGCCAGAGTGAGTAGCAGCGCTTATAAAAGAAAAGGTTATCATATCTCTTATTCAATCAATTTTTTGTCATATCATTGCCGTGTATTTTTTTAAATAATCATTAATTTTCGAAATAAATCTCTTATTTCATCACTGTCCCAATTAATATGCACACTGTTGTATATGTATGTATGTATAACATGTATGTATATCATGTAGTACATTTTTTGAAGAGTCATTATTAAGGCTGAGGTTTTCTTACAGTGTTGACTGATATTCAGGAGGTGATGCTGGACCCGGTGTGTCTGCCCAGCGCCATCTCTTCCCGCCTCACTATCCACCATAACTTACTCCGCACTGTCTCTACTACACAAGGTGGGTTGATGTCTCTACTACATGGGTTGATGTCTGTAAGATAAGATAAGATAAGATTTTGTTCGGATTTTTAACCCCGGAGGGTTAGCCACCCAGGATAACCCAAGAAAGTCAGTGCGTCATCGAGGACTGTCTAACTTATTTCCATTGGGGTCCTTAATCTTGTCCCCCAGGATGCGACCCACACCAGTCGACTAACACCCAGGTACCTATTTGCTGCTAGGTGAACAGGACAACAGGTGTAAGGAAACGTGTCGAAATGTTTCCACCCGCCGGGAATCGAACCCGGGCCCTCCGTGTGTGAAGCGGGAGCTTTAGCCACCAGGCCACCGGGCCACACAAGGTGGGTTGATGTCTCTACTACATGGGTTGATGTCTGTACCACACAAGGTGGGTTGATGTCTGTACCACACAAGGTGGGTTGATGTCTGTATCACACAATGTGGGTTGATGTCTGTACCACACAATGTGGGTTGATGTCTGTACCACACAAGGTGGGTTGATGTCTGTACCACACAAGGTGGGTTGATGTCTGTATCACACAATGTGGGTTGATGTCTGTACCACACAATGTGGGTTGATGTCTGTACCACACAAGGTGGGTTGATGTCTGTACCACACAAGGTGGGTTGATGTCTGTATCACACAATGTGGGTTGATGTCTGTACCACACAATGTGGGTTGATGTCTGTACCACACAATGTGGGTTGATGTCTGTACCACACAATGTGGGTTGATGTCTGTACCACACAAGGTGGGTTGATGTCTGTACCACACAAGGTGGGTTGATGTCTGTATCACACAATGTGGGTTGATGTCTGTACCACACAATGTGGGTTGATGTCTGTACCACACAAGGTGGGTTGATGTCTGTACCACACATGGTGGGTTGATGTCTGTACTACACAAGGTGGGTTGATGTCTCTACCACAAGGTGGGTTGATGTCTGTACTACACAAGGTGGGTTATATCTACTACACAAGGTGGGTTGATGTCTCTACCACACAAGGTGGGTTGATGTCTCTAATACACAAGGTGGGTTGATGTCTCTACTACACAAGGTGGGTTGATGTCTCTACTACACAAGGTGTGTTGATGTCTACTACACAAGGTGTGTTGATGTCTCTACTACACAAGGTGTGTTGATGTCTACTACACAAGATGGGTTGGTGTCTCTACTACACAAGGTGGGTTGGTGTCTACTACACAAGGTGGGTTGATGTCTGTATCACACAATGTGGGTTGATGTCTGTACCACAATGTGGGTCACGGACCGGGCCGCGGGGGCGTTGACCCCCGAAACTCTCTCCAGGTAAACACAAGGTGGGTTGGTGTCTACTACACAAGATGGGTTGGTGTCTCTACTACACAAGGTGGGTTGGTGTCTCTACTACACAAGGTGGGTTGGTGTCTACTACACAAGATGGGTTGGTGTCTCTACTACACAAGGTGGGTTGGTGTCTACTACACAAGGTGGGTTGGTGTCTACTACACAAGGTGGGTTGGTGTCTACTACACAAGGTGGGTTGGTGTCTACTACACAAGGTGGGTTGGTGTCTCTACTACACAAGATGGGTTGGTGTCTCTACTACACAAGGTGGGTTGATGTCTACTACACAAGGTGGGTTGGTGTCTACTACACAAGGTGGGTTGGTGTCTCTACTACACAAGGTGGGTTGGTGTCTACTACACAAGGTGGGTTGATGTCTACTACACAAGGTGGGTTGGTGTCTCTACTACACAAAGTGGGTTGGTGTCTCTACTACACAAGGTGGGTTGGTGTCTACTACACAAGGTGGGTTGGTGTCTACTACACAAGGTGGGTTGGTGTCTCTACTACACAAGATGGGTTGGTGTTTCTACTACACAAGGTGGGTTGATGTCTACTACACAAGGTGGGTTGGTGTCTACTACACAAGGTGGGTTGGTGTCTCTACTACACAAGGTGGGTTGATGTCTACTACACAAGGTGGGTTGGTGTCTACTACACAAGGTGGGTTGGTGTCTACTACACAAGGTGGGTTGGTGTCTCTACTACACAAGGTGGGTTGGTGTCTCTACTACACAAAGTGGGTTGGTGTCTCTACTACACAAGGTGGGTTGGTGTCTACTACACAAGGTGGGTTGATGTCTACTACACAAGGTGGGTTGGTGTCTCTACTACACAAGGTGGGTTGGTGTCTCTACTACACAAGATGGGTTGGTGTTTCTACTACACAGGGTGGGTTGGTGTCTGCACAAGGTGGGTTGGTGTCTACTACACAAGGTGGGTTGGTGTCTACTACACAAGATGGGTTGGTGTTTCTACTACACAGGGTGGGTTGGTGTCTGCACAAGGTGGGTTGGTGTCTACTACACAGGGTGGGTTGGTGTCTCCACTTCACAAGGTGGGTTGGTGTCTCTACTACACAGGGTGGGTTGGTGTCTGCACAAGGTGGGATGGTGTCTCTACTACACAAGATGGGTTGGTGTCTCTACTACACAGGGTGGGTTGGTGTCTGCACAAGGTGGGTTGGTGTCTGCACAAGGTGGGTTGGTGTCTCTACTACACAAGGTGGGTTGGTGTCTACTACACAAGATGGGTTGGTGTCTCTACTACACAAGGTGGGTTGGTGTCTACTACACAAGGTGAGTTGGTGTCTACTACACAAGGTGGGTTGGTGTTTCTACTACACAAGGTGGGTTGATGTCTACTACACAAGGTGGGTTGGTGTCTCTACTACACAAAGTGGGTTGGTGTCTACTACACAAGGTGGGTTGGTGTCTCTACTACACAAGGTGGGTTGGTGTTTCTACTACACAAGGTGGGTTGGTGTCTACTACACAAGGTGGGTTGGTGTCTCTACTACACAAGGTGGGTTGGTGTTTCTACTACACAAGGTGGGTTGATGTCTACTACACAAGGTGGGTTGGTGTCTCTACTACACAAGGTGGGTTGGTGTCTATTACACAAGGTGGGTTGGTGTTTCTACTACACTACAACCCAGGGCAACATGGGTTTAGAACAGGTCGCTCCTGTCTGTCTCAACTATTGGACCACTACGACAAGGTCCTAAATGCACTAGAAGACAAAAAGAATGCAGATGTAATATATACAGACTTTGCAAAAGCCTTCGACAAGTGTGACCATGGCGTAATAGCGCACAAAATGCGTGCTAAAGGAATAACAGGAAAAGTCGGTCGATGGATCTATAATTTCCTCACTAACAGAACACAGAGAGTAGTCGTCAACAGAGTAAAGTCCGAGGCAGCTACGGTGAAAAGCTCTGTTCCACAAGGCACAGTACTCGCTCCCATCTTGTTCCTCATCCTTATATCCGACATAGACAAGGATGTCAGCCACAGCACCGTGTCTTCCTTTGCAGATGACACCCGAATCTGCATGACAGTGTCTTCCATTGCAGACACTGCAGAGCTCCAGGCAGACATCAACCAAATCTTTCAGTGGGCTGCAGAAAACAATATGAAGTTCAACGATGAGAAATTTCAATTACTCAGATATGGTAAACATGAGGAAATTAAATCTTCATCAGAGTACAAAACAAATTCTGGCCACAAAATAGAGCGAAACACCAACGTCAAAGACCTGGGAGTGATCATGTCGGAGGATCTCACCTTCAAGGACCATAACATTGTATCAATCGCATCTGCTAGAAAAATGACAGGATGGATAATGAGAACCTTCAAAACTAGGGAGGCCAAGCCCATGATGACACTCTTCAGGTCACTTGTTCTATCTAGGCTGGAATATTGCTGCACACTAACAGCACCTTTCAAGGCAGGTGAAATTGCCGACCTAGAAAATGTACAGAGAACTTTCACGGCGCGCATAACGGAGATAAAACACCTCAATTATTGGGAGCGCTTGAGGTTCCTAAACCTGTATTCCCTGGAACGCAGGAGGGAGAGATACATGATTATATACACCTGGAAAATCCTAGAGGGACTAGTACCGAACTTGCACACGAAAATCACCCACTACGAAAGCAAAAGACTTGGCAGACGATGCACCATCCCCCCAATGAAAAGCAGGGGTGTCACTAGCACGTTAAGAGACCATACAATAAGTGTCAGGGGCCCGAGACTGTTCAACTGCCTCCCAGCACACATAAGGGGGATTACCAACAGACCCCTGGCAGTCTTCAAGCTGGCACTGGACAAGCACCTAAAGTCAGTTCCGGATCAGCCGGGCTGTGGCTCGTATGTTGGTTTGCGTGCAGCCAGCAGCAACAGCCTGGTTGATCAGGCTCTGATCCACCAGGAGGCCTGGTCTCAGACCGGGCCGCGGGGGCGTTGACCCCCGGAACTCTCTCCAGGTAAACACAAAGTGGGTTGGTGTCTCTACTACACAAGGTGGGTTGGTGTTTCTACTACACAAGGTGGGTTGATGTCTACTACACAAGGTGGGTTGGTGTCTCTACTACACAAGGTGGGTTGGTGTCTACTACACAAGGTGGGTTGGTGTCTCTACTACACAAAGTGGGTTGGTGTCTACTACACAAGGTGGGTTGATGTCTACTACACAAGGTGGGTTGGTGTCTCTACTACACAAGGTGGGTTGGTGTCTCTACTACACAAGGTGGGTTGGTGTTTCTACTACACAAGGTGGGTTGATGTCTACTACACAAGGTGGGTTGATGTCTACTACACGAGGTGGGTTGGTGTCTACTACACAAGGGGTTGGTGTCTGTACTACACAAGGTGGGTTGGTGTCTCCACCAGATGTATTGGTGTATTGATGTCTGCACTACGCAAGGTGTATTGATGTCTGCACTACACAAGGTGTATTGATGTCTGCACTACACAAGGTGTATTGATGTCTGCACTACACAAGGTGTATTGATGTCTGCACTACACAAGGTTTATTGATGTCTGCACTACACAAGGTGTATTGATGTCTGCACTACACAAGGTGTATTGATGTCTGCACTACACAAGGTGTATTGATGTCTGCACTACACAAGGTTTATTGATGTCTGCACTACACAAGGTGTATTGAT